TAGTATCATGGGATTGCATGACTTCAATCTTTATGTTCTGTATGCTGGTTTTCAGAAGGCAGTAGCATATATAGATAAGGAATTGTCAAGATTGGAACTATATTCAGTTTCTTAGAAAGGAAGGAGTGAGATGAGGTAGTATTACTATAGAAGTTTTATGGCTCTAGAAGTAGCATGTTTTAAAAAAAAGTTGCAATTCTGTATGTCATGTAACAGTGTTAGGTGTCTAAGAATAACTTAGGAATCGCCATCGTGCACCAATTTTTACTGTCTTTAGTTAGAGAGACAAGCACTCCTTGAATTCTGATGTCTTCTGCAGCTTCTGATAGTTTTGAAATCTCTTCCTGTATTTGAGCACCTTGGATGATTTAGCTCACTCCCATAAATCACAAGTGGAGTAGTCTTCTCTCCCAGATACCTCACAACTGCGTCGTTAGGGTGCTTGCACTGGAAGTTGAAACATTAATGTTGAAACTACAGTACTTATTTTGCACATCATCCCTTTGGATTCTGCTTCTCTCTCTAGTGGCATAGTAGCATGGTTTCAAGGTTCAGTCATGCTGCCATTTCATCTATCCATTTATCAAGCTCGGTGGTAAAGACATTGACCTGGTAAGCTTTTTCCTCCTCCCTCAGTGTTCCCTATATTATGTTTATATAGAAAGTGATTAAAAAAAAAACAAACAAAAAACAAACACAGAGGTCAACCAGGAAGAGGGAACGTCCTCATTAGTCTACAGAATCCCTGTTGCTCTCTTTGAAATGCAGGAGATGCTGGTTGCGTCTTTCAGTACCTGACTGAATGCTGTTCCTAAATCATTTTTATTTTAACAAAGGAAACGTAATGTCTTTGTACATCTTGTACACGATTTGGAGGAGGGTTTGCGTGCTTGAAAATAAACAGGTTTTTCAGCTCTGTCTACTGATCTTCATATTATTCCATCTTCCTCTAAACCTAATTGGGCATCTTCAGATTGATGTGACTACTCTACTTTTGTAAAATTTCATACAAAATGAACTTTTAAGAAATTCTATCCTTGCCAGTGAAACTTTGGACTAATTATGTGGTACTTGCTAGATTTTTATCAACAGTTTCAGTGAAAACATACTGGTTCAGTGGTGCTTTTGTGGAGTTTTGGTGCTGACACATGTAAGCGCTCAAGGCCATGTTAGTCTTTTATACTAGGAAACGGACTTCTCATTTTGCTTCAGGAGAGTGAGGCTATTTTTGTGGCTACTCATGTAAATATGTGGTTGGCAGGCAACCTTTCAGTTTCAGACAAGTTTAATTTAAATGCCATCCTTTGGCTATTTAGTTAGCTGTGTTTAATATAAGTTAAAGTCATTGTTTCCAAGATGTCGTCTTGTATTCATTCCGGAATCACAGATGAGCTGATGTGAAAGAAAATGTAATCAGTTCACAAAGCATTGGTAATTCAAGGCAGAAATTCCATTTCAAAGATGGTGATATCTAAAGGAAACTACACAGTACAAATCAGTCAGCATTGTAGAGGAACAGAGAACAGGATAGGCGCTCTATAATATGAATTTTTGACATCTTTTTTCCACTGGCAGTAGGAGATGAGTTCACTAGGATAAAACAAGTCCCGAAAGCAAACTTACTGCCACAAAACGACCTTATTTTAGAATTGGCTCTGTCTCTTGAAATACTGTTTAAGTGGTGTTTGTATGTGCAGTTAGGTGTGAAAGAGGAAGTGTTTCTCCAGGTGACATGCTCATTGTGCAGTGATGGCCAGTGAGAGTCTTGCTTATTGCACCATAGTTGACTAACTCGGGCTATGTGTGCTGTGAACGATTTGCTGACTAGTGTCAGTGAAATCGGAAGTGCCAGGAGTTCTGACGTGGGCGCTGCCACAAGCTGAAAGCAATGTGAAAATGTTTCAGTTCAGTAAACTTCTGAACTTTCCTTCCCTTCACTATATTTCCTTTATGGATCCATAAAATGTTTTTGGGGATAAGCTGTCTCATTCTTCTGACTTGGCTCTTATGTGTTTAACATCTTGCTGCTGCTGTGCTTTAATCTTTTCTGTGCTCATCTTTGATGTGAGCAACTGCTGTGACTTTTTACCAATAGCAGGCAGTATGAGCCACAACAAGTCAAACTCCAGCTAAATTTGGTGTCTGTTACAAAACTGTTGCATTGACTCTAGAATTAAATTAATTAGGATTCATGTCCTGATTTATTTGCATATTTATATCTGTTGTAATGGAACTTAAAAGTTTAGTTGACAGTAAGTCTGATAAATGTAATACATTAGAAGCAATCCCAATAATGGGAAAAGGAAAGCTCTATCCCAGTTTACAAATGGGAAGCTGAGGCACGAGGTGTGATATGCACCAGGGTGTATCTGGCTGACAGACAACTCTATCACATTTCTGAATTCTAGTCCAGTGTTTCACCTTTGCCTCCACCTGTTAGGAAGTGGTTTAGGATTCTTGCTGGAGCACTGCCACTTTGTATTATGTCTCTGTACCGTCCTGTATTGTAGTCACCTGCTGATATAATTGTAGTTCCTTTTGTGATTGATTATCAAGGAAAGGCTTAAGAGAAGAAAAGGAAGAAAGAAGGTTGTGGCCCTGCCATGTAGCAGTTCAGTGTTTGTTCCCATTCATGAGATAAGGAAGATACATTGCTATGCTTCTTTCCAGTGTTTGAGAAAGATGGACAAGAAAAGAATGAATACTTTGTTTCACTTTAACAAATTTAGTGTAATAGTATGAGGTGAATTAAGTTTGCAGTGAACTTGGGAAATATTAAGGTTCCACATACATTTGTATTCATACAAGTGCTTCAGAATATAAAATTATTTACCTTTGAGAAAACTAATTAACTAACTTAAAAAAAACCAACAACCCCAAACAAACACAAAAATAATCCCACCAAAAGGCACCAAACAAAACTCAAAACCTTTACCTTACTTTTAACTTTTCTTTTTGTGTAGTGCTGCCTTTAGAGCAGTAATGCAAATGCTTTAAGTTCTGTTTCAGACACTGGGGAGAATGCTTAACTTATCCTACTCTTCAGCCAGTAATTGGTTCAAGATTCTATTTTAAACAGCTTTTAGCATGTTGCTAAAATTAATGCATATATACTGCTTCATATCTTAATTAGCAGTATAAAAACTGGATACACTGATGAGAGTACTTTTTAAGGGTGGATGATTGCTAATATTAGTATGGCTAGCTACCAGCATATTGTTGCCAAAATTCTGGTCGCACATCTGACAATGTGTAGTGTACAGAGCTTAACTTAATTGGGAAAACTACAATCAAAGCTCAGAGAAGAGACAGGCAAAACAATACTTACTGTCATGAAGGGCCTAGCGCTTCCACAGTTGAAGTTAAATGCAGCTCTAACACAACTACGTTACACGATTGTGTGTGTGTGATCATAACTCTGAAATTTTTGTATGACACATAGGAAGTGGAGACAGACAAGTTATCTGATTGTTATGGGGAATGACAATAGCTATTGAACCCTGCCAAACAGGCACGCTGGTCATATTGGAAGTGTAGTCACTCATGTATAGGAATGACCCGGGGAAAATGGATTAACTTCTGGTGGCTAACTCTTGTCAGCAGTGGACTTAGCAAGTTTGCAAGCCAGACTTATTGTGGATTCTGCTTTTTTTAGTTATTTAACTTCATATTGAGAAGTCAATATAGTATACAATTTGATATATAAAAAAAAAATTGAGATGAGTTGAAAAACTGGGGTATTATATACAAATATATATGCATATATACACATATATATCATATATATATATGTAACTGACATACTTGAACGTTGTTTTGGTTTCAGTTTTATGCTTGGGTAGTAAACTTCCAGTCCTTTGAACCTAGGCACAAATAATATTGAGTCCGCTGAGATTTTTGAGGAATGGTTGGTTTTTGATTTAGGATCTGTCTGGATGGTCCAGTGTGGCAGTTAGGTAGGCTAAATAGTGGGGAAAACAGCTTTACTCTTTCTAACATTGAGTACTTTTCTAGTTCTTCCCTTCCTGTCCCCCAAGCTGATAGAAGAGTGAATTCTGATAGAGAGGAGTGGAGTGAGGTTCTAAACAAACTTCACTTCAGAAAAGACGTACCTTTATTTTCATTTCAGCAGGTCACCTGCTTTTCATACCTCAAATCCCAGGTAGATGGCTTCTAGTTGCCTCTTTTAAAAATAATAATTTCTTTCACCAATTCAGTGTTAGTTTGTAATAATTTCTACCTTTAGAATAGAGAACTTTCCATCTAATTACTATCCACTGTTTTTTTCCACTAACTTCCATTATTTTGGAATCCAAATTTTTGACTCATGCATTCATCTGTCACCTAGATATTGTCAAAATTGCTTATTCCAGCAGATAAGGAAGTCCTTGAGCACAATATGAAATGATAGTCCTATCTTTAAAACGAAAAGCTAAATAGGTTGGACAGTGTCTGCTGTTCTTGCTTCTCTGTGGGAAATTTGACTGTTTCCTATTCCTGGTAGATGAAGAGCCCGTTTAATACCCACTCTTGTATAAGTTTCTCTACATTGTCCACCATGAAATGAGATTAAGACAATGCTAGTGTTGATGTAGAGGTGAAATGGGTCCTGTGAGGCCTTTTTCCTGAGCTACAGCTTGGTAGTGTGGTCTGTAATTTGGTGGTTACTTACTGACTTAAGCCTTCCATTTTACAGTAAAAGGGCCTATTTGTTTAATAGCCACCCTGTATAATTTTTCAGTAGCAGAAATTCCTGATCTGGACTGTATGTGAAGCAATATTTCCAGTACTATGTTACTACAGTGTTTAATACTAGTTGCATTATCTAGCAAATGAGTACCAATAAAAAATAAATCTAAGCTCCATGAAGCTCACAAATCCCATTATGTACTTTTTAATAAAATCCTCAGGGCAATATTGGAGCAGCCTACCTAATGATCCACCTTCCTGACTCTTCCTAACTTAAAGCCTGGAATATAAAAAGTGATTTAAATGCCATAGCATATTTGAAATCAAGCTGTCCTTCCATGGAATACTCATGGCCTGAGGAAAATGTCACAGGGCTGCCTTCTCTTCTCACCAGGAGGTATGTTAAACTTGCCACAGAAAATGTTGTTACAAGTGTAGATGTGTATAATGAAAAGCTATTTGTGAAGCCTAACCTCTTATTCTTTACTCTGAAAGGTTCACCTGTAGAAGAGAGAAAAGGGATCCTTGAGTTACAGCAGATTATTCTGATTCAGTCTATACTTGTTTGAGAGGATCTCTTGGAATAATGTGATGTACTGAGTAAATTTTCTAGATTATCAAATTGACACTGAAAAATTGCTACCAACATAAGTTGCTACAGCCAAAGATAAGGGTTTTTTTTATTGGCTGGGTTTGCAGCTTGATCCAGTCTGGCATGGGAATATTGACAGATCTAGGGGTTAACTGGTGCTATAGTGCACAGAGGATGGACAGAGTCCTTCTTTGCCGATAATTTTTCAGTGACACTGGTTCTAAAATAAAGGATGTTTGTTCTCATCATACATTTCCATCAAATTGGCAACTAAATTTAAATGGCTAATTTTGAGTTTTGACTTCATAACTAAATTTACAATTTGTATATGCAAGACTCGCTCAAGCAAGTGTGAGCTTCTTCCTGATGATTATTCTGTTTTCCTTGCATTGCTAGTGTTCAGTGCCATTGTTAGCATCTAAAACAGATCAGCTGTATAATCACTGCAACTGATTGCCCACACTTCCCCTTTAACAGTGTCTTTAACTGTGACTTTATGATTATGTGCTGTTTCTTTAAAGGCCTTATACATTAGGTACTTGTATTCTTTACATCAGTGAAATATCCTGATAGTAGACAGGTAGTGTCTTTGCTTCAGGTACCTCCTCTCTTTTCTTGCATTAATATAGTTTCACAGAATGCTCCTTGCTTATCAGCAACTAAGGAAATTGACTTTAAAACTATGTAAAGGTGTATAATCCTCTACATCTAACTTTTTTTCTTTTGCAGGAAGGGTTTCTCACCATGGCCATAACGCAGTTTCGACTCTTTAAAATCTGTACTTGCCTGGCAGCAGTGCTTTCTTTCATTAAAAAGTTAATATGCAGGTAAACATGTCTTATTTGGTTACCTTTTCTTTTTTAATTACAGGTTCTTTCCTTCTCCAAACACCCATCCACTGCTTTTCCCAGTTCTAATTTTACTAATTGCAAAACAATCAAGGCAGATAAAAACTAGGTCTGATTCATTCTTTAATCCGCATATTCCTTCAGAGTTCAAAAGTCTGTGTAGTGCAGTTGTGGTATGATAGCTCTAATGAGGAATGTTTTCTAAACAGCTGTGACAGGGTTTTAAAATTTCCTTTTATAACAATCCTGTGTCAAACTTTAAGGAAAATTGTTCTTCACATTTTCTAGAAGTACTTGGCAAGCGATACGTTGTTTTTGAAGAAATGCAGTTAATGGCAGCATCCACCCAGTCATTCAGTAGGCTTTCAATATAAATCTGATTCTCATCCTGCTTTGTCAAGAAACAGTTGTCTGAGGCTTCAGATTCTTCTGCCTATTGAAGATTCTTTAAAAATTTTGAAGGATAGTGATTAAAGTTCAAGGGAACTGAAGGAACTGATATTTTTTGTTTGTTTTAAATGAACATGGCAGTCCTGGTTTTGGCTGGGATAGAGTTAATTTTCTTCTTAGTAGCTGGTATAGTGCTGTGTTTTAGATTTGGGATGGAAATAATGTTGATAACATACTGATGTTCTACTTGTTGCTAAGCAATGCTTACGCTAAGTCAAGGACTTTTCAGCTTCTCATGCCCTGCCAGCAAGTAAGTGAGGGTGCACAAGAAGCTGAAAGGGTCACAGCCAGGACAGCTGACCCAAACTGGCCAAAGGAATATTCCATACCATATGACATCATGCTCAGCATATAAAGCTGGTGGGAGTTGACTGGGAGGCAGCTGTCACTGCTTGGGGACTGGCTGGGCAGCAGGTGGTGAGCAATTGTTTTTCATTTGCATCACTTGCTTTGCTTGGATTTTATTTCACTCTCTTCTTGTTATTTTCATTTTCATTACATTTAATATTTCATTGCAATTATTAAACTGTTCCTATCTCAACCCACGAGTTTTCTCACTTTTATTCTTCTGATTCTCTTCCCCCATCCTGCTGGGAGGGAGTGAGCGAGCAGCTGTGTGGTGCTTAGTTGCCAGCTGGGGATAAACCACAACAATGACTTGTTTTTTGCTTACTCTTGTAATTCATACTTAGTGTTCTTTTGAGTTGCAGACCAAGAACATTGCAGTTAGTGCAGTGCCTAGAAATGTTCAAAACCCCCTCAAGAGTTATGGTTGTATAATAGTAGAGTTCAGTAGTACAGTAGCGGAGTACCAGAGGTAGATCTTGGCGCTGTGCTGTCATGTGAACTACTGTTGCTTCTTGCCACTCTTGCAGAATGTTGTTTTACATAAAAAATAGCAATCTAGAGAAATGTATTGTCCTTTTGTGTATGATGACTACTACTTTGCCAGTGAGGTTAAAACGTATGCAGAATATGTGGTAGACAGAAAATAACTGTTTGTTTCCTGTTCATCTTTATTTATTCCAAGAATAAGAGGAAGCTCTCAACTGTTTGGTAGATTCACTACAGATCTGGGTGAGGCATTAAAAGGATACATTTTAATGCTGCATGCAACTATATAGATGTCAACCTTAGTTCTGTGATTTGAATTCAAAATTAAACTAAGAATACTTACTGTTGAGGTTCTAAAAGAAGTCAAAACAGTGAGTTGATGATAGCTTCTATATTACGTGGACCCTTCATCTCTGTAAGTGTTAAGATGGCTTTTATAAGCGGATAATTGTTTAGTATGTGTAATGGCAGTATTTTCCTCTGTTTTTCAACTTTTGAAGGAACTAAATCCTTGAAATGAACAACTGAGGAACTGCTTGGGAATAAAAAGTAGGAGAACTTTTCTTCTGTGAATAACAAAGAATGAAAATTTAAAATCTTTCACATAAGCAAGTCAGTGGATCAAATTAGTTCAGTCCATTAACTACAGATGTTTTTCTTGTTTAAAAGTCAGCTGCAAAGCATAGCTTGATAAATCTTGTTTTCCTGTAATGCACCCTCGCATATGAGGATGCCTGATAACCAGCAAATGTGATTTAATTAAATGTGCATTTTAATTCAAGGGATATGAGCTTATTTAGATTATGTAGTTTACGTTATTTTTTCATTTAAACAAGTGCCTGTAGAGATCGTTCATCTTTCTAGTCAGCATAAAGCCTACATATAGTACAAGTCATCTCTTTAGTTAAAACTTTTTTGATAAACCACAATCTGCCTGAATCCACTGTTTCCTGGGAATAAAAGATATAAATATAAAAAGAGATGAAACTTCATTCTGTTTAAAATCTCTAGGTGTCTTCTCCAGCTGAAAAATCTGAATGTTGCTAATTAGTAAGGAGAAACAAACCCAAGAATTCCTGAGGCTTTTGGCATTCAGAACAGTGATTAATATCTGTCTAATGATGGTTTTGAAGCAACTGTTCCTATAAGCATCTTGTTCCCTTTGTAGACAAGGAAGTGGAAATATGTAGCTTTCCTCACTGCTGCCCTGTGTAGCGTATTCTTTTCCATGTTGTATGACAGAAGCTGTTTCCTTCCACCTTCACCCTTGTCAGTGTAATCATTTTGGCTAGATGAATATTTGTTATAAGCTGCTTGCTGGAATCTTCTAGATCATATAAATAGGGAAATATATATAATTGCAGAAGTGATGGCTTAGAGTAGTATTAAAGATATGTATGTTGTACAGGTCTGAAGGAGGATGTTTCCAAGGTTGGGTTTCCTTTAGAGACATCAACTAAATCTAGGTAGCCAGAACTAATGTGTTTGAGGGAACAGTGTTTTCACCTACCATTACCCCTAAACTGTTGCTTTTCAGCTTAAATTTTATTTTAAAACTGTTCCTTTATATAAAGCTTGAAAATTTGATGATAGCACCTGATCTTTCCTAAGGAAGAATCTGTTGGGTGTAAAACAAGAAAAATATATTTAATCGCTCACCAGCATGTAGCAGAGGTGGTATTATAAGCAATTCAGATATTCTGAGTTGATGGTAGAATATTCTATAATAGTAAAACTAATGGATATGAACTCCAGATTGTCGTTTCCCAGTTTTGTTCTCATCAGTAGTAATAAAAGAAACTTAACTTTTCCAAGCTTCATAAGGTCAATTGCATGTCTGTCTTGCTATAGGAGCTTGTGCTCCTGGGGGAAAACGTGTGCGAGCCTGAATTTCATTCTCTTGTGTTGTGAGGTTTTAAAATGTAGTGAGTGTTGGCTAAGAATCTTAATTATTATTGTGATCTTTGAACGCTGTCATTAAATATCTAGGTGGTTTATTTGCAATGCATTAGTGTTTGTCTTCAGTTAAAATTATTTGATATAGTTGCTGAAATGCTTTTATTGAAACAGTATTCTTTAAGTATGTAGAAGCATGTATTGAACAGAAGCTGTTGACTTCCATAATCTTGCCTTACCTCTCTTTAGACTTTGAAGAAAAAGGTCTATTAGAGGGGCTTTCAAATCAAGCAGCTCAAAGTGATTTGTTAGACAGTTTAACAGCTAAGACAAGTGGAAAGATTTCTCGGCTTACAATAGAAACGGTTATCTTTGAACAAATGTGGATTGATAGTGTTTGCTTCAGAAGCACTGACAATCTAAAAATTGTGACTAACTGTATGCAAATAACTGAGTTAATTTGTTCGTTTTCATATTTCTTAGTTGCTTCTCTTCTATGTCCACTGCAGTTTGAAAAGTAAATTGCACTTTGAAATTCTTGTGAACACTGCTTTAAATTCATGATGAAATTCCTTTGTTAGCAGACACTTACTGGCAGTAGTTAATACTAAGGTAGTTTAAGCACTTAATGTTTTAGCCATGACTATTTTCAGTAGTGCTGTTCTCAGACTTCCTTTTTGTTTTTTTTAAACTTAGTGCTCATGTTTTCAGAGCTTGGAGGAATCCTACGTTTTTCTTTCAGGTCTGGAAGAGGGCGAAAGTTAAGTGGAGACCAAATAACTTTGCCAACCACAGTGGATTATTCATCTGTTCCTAAACAGGTAATTGCTTAAGTAGTAGGTGACTTAATAGATAATCACTTAAGAGTGTTTATACCAGTCCTACAACAGGATTGGTATATATCTTAGAAAGATATAATACTATTATATATGCTATATAATATTAAGTATATATCTTAGCAAGATACAAAAAGACAAGTTTTTACTTGCAGACAATATTAACTTGTGCCATATACTTCTATTCAGCCTGAAGTAGAAGACTGGTCTTCGTGGGATGAGGATGCACCTACCAGTGTAAAGATTGAAGGTGGCAATGGTAATGTGGCTGCTCAGCAAAATCCTTTGGAACAAATGGAACCTGATTATTTCAAAGATATGACACCAACTATAAGAAAAACTCAAAAAGTAAGTATTGCACTTTAAACTGTACTTATGTTTTCTGTCCTTTAACATAGGCTATAAGTAAATTGGCAACTTACAGAAGGTGCTGCTGGTAAAATTAAGCTGTCCTATGGAAATGAGAATAGGTGCTGATGTGTAGTCTAATATGTCTAACTCTTCACTGGATAAGAAAAAACTGGCTGCATGGCCGGGCCCAAAGAGTTGTGGTGAATTGAGTTAAATCCAGTGGTGTTCCCCAGGGCTCAGTATTGGGGCCAGTTCTCTTTAATATCTTTATCAATTATCTGAGCGAGGGGATTGAGTGCACCCTCAGTAAGTTTGCAGACTACACAGAGTTGGCTGCGAGTGTTGATCTGCTTGAGGGTAGGAAGCCTCTACAGACGGATCTGG